AAGTAGTCCATAGTTGTAACTATACTTATAGTTACATAAAAGTAGTTCATAGTTGTAACTATACTTACAGTTACATAAAAGTATCCTATAGTTGTAACTATACTTACAGTTACATAAAAGTAGCCTATAGTTGTAACTACACTTACAGTTACATAAAAGTAGCCTATAGTTGTAACTATACTTACAGTTACATAAAAGTAGCCTATAGTTGTAACTATACTTACAGTTACATAAAAGTAGCCTATAGTTGTAACTATACTTACAGTTACATAAAAGTAGCCTATAGTTGTAACTATACTTACAGTTACATAAAAGTAGCCTATAGTTGTAACTATACTTACAGTTACATAAAAGTAGCCTATAGTTTTTTTTTTACTCGCACTACTGTCCATTCACAAGATTGATGCAAATCCATTTCAGGAGTGTATTAAAAGCTTAAAATGAAATTCTCTGTTATATGTACAGAAAACATTTGTTACAAGACCAGGAAATAAACACAAGAGTGTGAAAGTGTGTTTGGTCAATGGCAAGCAGTATTTCTAGATCCGGTTCTACTCTGTTCCATAGAGAAGCACCATATCAGACCTAAGAACATGTGTTGTTTCTTTTTAAATGAAAACCTACAGCTTAGTCTAGATATATATATATATCTATATATATATATTACCCACTTTGTTTTACTTAGGAAAGATCATAGATAGGAAAAGTTGTAGAAACAAAGGATAATCTGAAGATAGGAAAAGTTGTAGAAACAAAATAGATTATCCTTTGTTTCTACTTTTCCTATCTTAGATTATCCTTTGTTTCTACAACTTTTCCTATCTTAGATTATCCTTTGTTTCTACAACTTTTCCTATCTTAGATTATCCTTTGTTTCTACAACTTTTCCTATCTTAGATTATTCCTTTGTTTCTACTACTTTTCCTATCTTAGATTATCCTTTGTTTCTACAACTTTTCCTATCTTGGTTTATCCTTTGTTTCTACAACTTTTCCTATCTTAGATTATCCTTTGTTTCTACAACTTTTCCTATCTTAGATTAGCCTTTGTTTCTACAACTTTTCCTATCATAGATTATCCTTTGTTTCTACTACTTTTCCTATCTTAAATTATCCTTTGTTTCTACAACTTTTCCCATCTTAGATTATCCTTTGTTTCTACAACTTTTCCTATCTTAGATTAGCCTTTGTTTCTGCCACTTTTTCTAACTAATACTGTATCTTGTTTCTGATTTTTTCCCCTTAGATTCAGGTACTTTTATAATCAACATTAATACAAGGTAGAGTAATAAAACAAAGTTATAATATAATACAAATAGTATATATCTTTTAATAAGTGTGCTGGAGTTATTACAGTGCCATAGACAATAGGTAAGATTATCAAACATAATCTTTTATAATTACCAAAAGTGTTGGAGTGACAAATGTCAGACATGGATTCTCCATCCCACCAAAGGGAAATGATGGAGGTAAAACTAGAAGGTCATAAATTCCCCAAACGTATGGTCCAAGGAGCTTTTCAGCTGTTTCTAACATTTCTTCCGTCTAGGAGATAAATAAAAACACATTCAATAAGTTTCTACTTTACACCACCAAGATTTGTAACAGGTTGTTAGGCTTAGAAATATTTTTAACTATCAGTTGCTGTTAACAGGGAATTTATACAGATATGGATTAGGATAGAAAGTCACATGGAATTTATATTTTGGTAAGATACAGTTTTTTATATCTATATAAAATTTTACCACTCTTACTCCTTTTAATTACTTAACAATTCTGCTCTAGAATATTACCATAATTTTCCGAATATTACGCACACCCTAATCTTCACGAACAGAGTCAAGCTTGCCTTATCACCATAAATAATATACACCTAGACTTTTGCAATACTGCAGTCAAAGTAACTCTTTGAGGAGTTCTGAAGAGGTATTTTCAAGAATCTGTTGCCATTTGTTGCAGAAACTCCAGTCATGAGTCCTTTAAATGTGAGAGATGGGGTATGTTTTTATTCTATATATTACAAAATTGCAACTTAGCGTGTCAATGGTGTCTGGTACATTTTTCAGCGAGTTTTATAAGTTTCTGAAAAGAGTTGTTTTCTGATGCAGTTAAAGAGTTTTGCATGGTGGTTTAGGTTGAGTGTTGTCAGATACTGGGGTGAAAATGTTGCTGGAATATTCAGATAAAGAAAGCAGGAGATCAAGAGAAAGGGTAGTTGCTGTTTTCTTCTGTGTGTGTGTGTGTGTGTGAAGGAGTGATGATGTAGGATGAAGATCAATGAGATTCAATGCAAGTGAAAAAAGGTCTAAAACGAACCCGGGTTCTGGAGATGATGGGGTTACATCCTCAAAGAAGTACCCCAGTTAGAAGGAACAGGTAAGGGTTGGGAGGATGAAGGACAGGAAATGGGACCAGATGCCATATGAGACTCTGTTCGAGACAAATAGGCTACAAAAGTCATAAAGGTTTATTGCTGGCGGAGTTTCTGGGACTGTATTAAAGACATATCATCTCAGAAAAGGTGCAAGATGTAAATCTCTGAGATATGTTGAGGTTAAATTGACCTAAGCCAAAACTGCATCCTGACCTATAAGGTCCCAACAACAAAGAAAACGTATGTAATGCCAGAGCCAAAGACGAAATGTGGGTGGAGGAGAGAAGTGTAAGGGTATCAGGATTTCTGCAGAGAGCCTCCAATAGGAGATGTATGGAAGAAAGATGGCATAAGAGGTTCGTTAGGGTAAGACTAACATTTGATTCGGGAGTTGATACGGTGAGGAATGCTGATCCCCTCATTTAATTGTGAGACAAATTGATCCACATGTACTCAATATTGGGGGAGGGAGGAAAACCAAAAATGGTGGGGAAGCTCGTCATGTAACAAGGAGGGTCGAGGTAAATAAGAGGAAAGGGATAAAACATCACAAACCTGAGTCACAAAATCCGTAAATACGGAATTAGGCCTAGGTGATTCCTCAGACTACAAATGGGAAGGAACAAGGAAACTCTGCAGGCAGGAAAAGACGATCAAAGTCCCCGTCATTCCAAACAAGATCAGCTGACTCAGGAGGAGCCTGGGCAATGTCTGGGGACAAAGGTAGACCCATGTAGCGCTCAATCTCCCAACATATAAAAGCAGAGAGAGATCCGATCCACTATCGGGTTGCCTGCACCTGAGGCTTTAAAAAAACAGTGGTCAGTGGTGTGACCCCAAAGTGGTAACATGAACTTTGGTTCACAAAATTTGAGTGCAGAAATATAGTGACAAGAATGAACGACTATAAAAAGAACCACTTTATGTGAAAAAAGAAAATTGTTTCTCACACTGGAAGCACTTCACACAAAAGAGGACGTCTTAACTTAAATGCTGCCAAATGAGAGATGAAGGTTTGGTAGAGGAGTACTAAAGTGTGAGATATTGGTAGCTTTCGAGCTAAGAGAGGATGTTGAGTTTTGATAGGGAAGGGTAGGAAAACAGCAAAGTGAGAATGTTGGGGTGACTTCGAAGAGGAAGACAAGACTGGAAGAATACGGCAAGTGATAAAGTATTTGAAGTTTGAGGTCATGGTAAGGATACCTGAGAAGCTCAGGCGAAGTCCATCACAAACAAAAGATAAAGTGAGTGGTGTTAGGTTTAATGAAAGTAAATTGGGAGTTGAGTTTTTATAGGTTTTTTTTGGTTAGTTTGATAAAATTTTAAATTGTATTGTTGAGTTTTATGATTGATGTGGTGTTTTGTAATCATCAAATGAAAGGTGTCTGTTCACATGTCCATGGATTACACTAGAGATAGCAAGTTTATTGTGTGGTTAAAGATATGAACTGTTGTGTTTCCAAGTTCTTCAGAAGATTTATTGGTCTGTTTCAAGTCATTAGAGCCAAAATGAATAATCAGAAACTGTATAGATTTGGGAAGTTTTTATAACTATGACATTGTTTATTTCAACTCCCACTGGTGGGTTTTGAAGGGATTGGGTGTCCATTAAGAAATTTTAAGTGTTCATGTAGATACTTAAGCATAGAGTCACCTAAAATGCCTATATTAGGAAACAGAAAGGTTTACATACCTAAATTGGGTCTATGTTCCTTATATGGAGATACATTTGTGATGTCAGAAAAACAATTATGTTAAAAAAATCAATTTATTACAAAAATTCTCTCTAATCCAAGCATTTTCAAAAAGTGCACCTTTCTTCTTCAGTCCTTAAAAACTTACCTGTCAACCGGTCCTCTATATACAGTCATACCTTATACTGATGGATTAGCTCTATTTAAACAGTCCTTGTATAAGGTATAAAAGTATATAGAGAACCGGTTGACAGGTAAGTTTTTTATATAGAGAACCGGTTGACAGGTAAGTTTTTAAGACCGTTTAAATAGAGCTACACCATCACCTATTATATATCTTTTACTGGGAATCCATATGGGGCTGGTAGAAAAAATTTTCTGTGAATTATTGTTAATTTTTTTATGATGTAATGTCATACAAATCACCATGCTTTATGTTTTATCAAATTGTTCTGCTAACCTGGACAACCTGATGTAGAACATATTTTAACTATATGAAGGACAGTACTGCTGTTTAACTTTTATAAACATACATTTTATTAACCCCATTCACCCATATTGTTGATCTAATAAAAAAAAAGGTAACCATATTGTTAACACTATGGGTCTAGTCAGAATGTGTTTCTACTTCCACATATATACCTGTTGGTTATAAATTGATTTGCCTTTAAACATAAAATGAACATCTCAGGTAACTTGTAACCCATCACAAATATTTACTGCCATTATTCTTCGAATCATCTATTGATAGCATGGAAGTGGACACAGCCATGATAATACAGAAATTAGTTTGTTTCAAAGTTTTGGTAGTGTGAAATATAAAAGTCCATTAATTTAATGGTTTTATTTTTTCCAGAAAAATTGGACCCAGATCTCGTGTGTGGTCAGAAAAAGAATTAGTTGAGAAAGCTGCTTTTGAATTCAGTGAGGTAACACCATTTTGTCAAATATTCATTAGTTTAGATATTAAAACTCAGGACTGAAAAGTACAAGAAATGGAAGGGAAAAAAAACTGTGGTCACAATATTGGTCAAATGGTATGTTGGGTCCTCCCTTTGAATGATAAAGCTAAAGTTGAAGTATACCATTGGTAAATCTTTTGGTCTAATGATAAAGGCTTTGGTGCAACTAAAATACTAATATGAGGTATCACAATATATTGAGAACCGGTTGACAGGTAAGTTTTTAAGGACCATTTAAATAGAGCTAAACCATCAGTATAAGATATGACTGTGTATGTCATTTGTGTGTTCCTATTATATTTGTTTCACTGGAATTCTGTATGTCATTTATGTGTTCCTATCATATCTCTTTTACTGGAAATCCGTATGTCATTTGTGTGTTCCTATTATATCTCTCTTACTGGAAATATGTATGTCATTTGTGTGTTCCTATTATATCTGTTTCACTGGAAATCTGTATGTCATTTGTGTGTTCCTATCATATCTCTTGTACTGGAAATCTGTATGTCATTTGTGTGTTCCTATCATATCTCTTTTACTGGAAATCTGTATGTCATTTGTGTGTTCTGTATGTCATTTGTGTGTTCCTATCATATCTCTTTTACTGGAAATCTGTATGTCATTTGTGTGTTCCTATCATATCTCTTGTACTGGAAATATGTATGTCATTTGTGTGTTCCTATCATATCTCTTTTACTGGAAATCTGTATGTCATTTGTGTGTTCCTATCATATCTCTTGTACTGGAAATATGTATGTCATTTGTGTGTTCCTATTATATCTCTTGTACTGGAAATCTGTATGTCACTTGTGTGTCCTATCATATCTCTTTTACTGGAAATCATATCTTTTTACTGGAAATCTGTATGTCAAATAGGAACACACAAATGACATACAGATTTCCAGTAAAAGAGATATAATAGGAACACACAAATGACATACGGATTTCCAGTGAAAGAGATATAATAGGAACACACAAATGACATACAGATTTCCAGTAAAACAGATATGATAGGAACACATAAATGACATACAGAATTCCAGTGAAACAAATATAATAGGAACACACAAATGACATACGGATTTCCAGTAAAAGAGATATGATAGGAACACACAAATGACATACAGATTTCCAGTACAAGAGATATAATAGGAACCCACAAATGACATACGAATTTCCAGTGAAACAGATATAATAGGAACACACAAATGACATACAGATTTACAGTAAAAGAGATATAATAGGAACACACAAATGACATACAGATTTCCAGTAAAAGAGATATAATAGGAACACACAAATGACATACGGATTTCCAGTAAAAGAGATATGATAGGAACACACAAATGACATACGGATTTCCAGTAAAAGAGATATGATAGG